GCGTTTGTTTGGCCGACTTAAGTTTCACTGGATTGGACTACTTAGCTAAAATCAGTGGTCCTGTGTTTGGTGTAAATTGGGATTGTGTTTAATGGGATTAAGCCGGACTCATGCAGACTAAATCCTTCGCTAGGTGGGCTTAGCAAGAGCCACAAAAAACGATGGGATTTGTAGTCCCGTTTCTGTTCTTCGCTTCACCTCGTGTTGCTTCGCTTCGCTCCAGGCTGGAGGCTTCCAGAGAGAGGGAGAGTTTTATTAGAATAAAAAAAGATAGAATTAATTAATATAATATTATTAGATATGATTTAAAAAATATAATATTGTAGTTTGTTATTATCCTTCTTTTTTTTAGTCCAATACTGCACCAAACGCTTCACTAAGTCAGTCCAGCTTAGTCTAGTTTAAGCCAGTCTAGCTTAGTCCCTGAAGCTAGTCTAGTCCGAGATAATCCGGTGCAACAAACGCACCCTTAAAGACTTTTGACTTGGAATGAGTAAATTTATGGAAGACTCCATCAAGAGGAAAAATTATTAATTGGAAAAACTTTTTTGTGGTCTGAGAGACACTGAGTCATGAAGATGTCATTTTCTTGTGGAAAACAAAATATTTTGTCATAGTCATATTAAATAAACGAGAATACTAAAAATAAAACTGGAAGTATCAATTAAGCATCATCAAGCTCTTATTCTTTGAAGAAAAAATTTGAAATAAATTGCCAAATTGCATTTATGGCCCTTGACTTGGACTTTGGCCAAGTTGCCAAATTGCCAAACTGCATTGATGGCAGACTCTAACATCGAACCTTTTTTTTTTCTTCCTCAAACGATAGATTTGTTTGATTAGGGAGCCAACGAGATTCGAACCTATGCTGTGGTACAAGAGTAACACTCATCTCCACCATTGCGATAGAAGACCACTTGCTACATTGGTGACTTTGCTTGATAACGTTATTCTCTTATTTTGATACAACGATATATCTATACTAGGGTTTTTATTACAAGAACAAACATTTTTTATTTACCAAACACAATTAAGGACTCAACTTTTTTAAGAAGCTGTTTAAAAAAAAAAAAAAATTTAAGCAACCCCAAACTGGCCATAGAAGTTGAACATAATACCTTTTATTTATAAATAAAAAGATAAACATCACCACACAGTATTACAACTTACAACAAATTCTTAATTATCTTTAGATGATTGCCCCAAAGTGATAAAACGTAAAGTTCACCAGCATTACAACTTACAACTGTTTATTTAGATTATTTGATAAATTTGAACATAAAAATAAATGAGAAATGAAGAAGAGGGGTTGAGATAGTGATATTTGAGAAGAAGAAAGATTGACAATTACACACATTTGGGACAACCGTTAGAATGAGTGGAAGAGGATCCTCTCCGAGTTCACTTTGTGGGGATCTTAGAGATCCCCACATTCTAGCCGTTCATCATACATCGTGCCATCAATTTTCGTCAAGTACTATTTGTGTTAATTTTAAATAAAAAAAAGTCAAATGATTTCTGATCGCACGATGCACAATGAATGACTAAGATGTAAGGATCACTAGAATCCGCACAATTTGGATCCAGATGGGATTCAAATCCAGAAGGCGTGGGGTGGGCTCCATAAAACAAAGTGGTGCACTGTACTAGTTGGCGACAATTAGGGCGCGTTTGTTTGGCCGACTTAAGTTTCACTGGATTGGACTACTTAGCTAAAATCAGTAGTCCTGTGTTTGGTGTAAATTGGGATTGTGTTTAATGGGATTAAGCCGGACTCGTGCAGACTAAATCCTTCGCTAGGTGGGCTTAGCAAGAGCCACCAAAAACGATGGGATTTGTAGTCCCGTTTTTGTTCTTCACTTCACCTCGTGTTGCTTCGCTTCGCTCCAGGCTGGAGGCTTCCAGAGAGAGGGAGAGTTTTATTAGAATAAAAAAAGATAGAATTAATTAATATAATATTATTAGATATGGTTTAAAAAATATAATATTGTAGTTTGTTATTATCCTTTTTTTTAGTCCAATACTGCACCAAACACTTCACTAAGTCAGTTCAGCTTAGTCTAGTTTAAGCCAGTCCAGCTTAGTCCCTGAAGCTAGTCTAGTCCGAGATAATCCGGTGCAACAAACGCACCCTTAAAGACTTTTGACTTGGAATGAGTAAATTTATGGAAGACTCCATCAAGAGGAAAAATTATTAATTGGAAAAACTTTTTTGTGGTCTGAGAGACACTGAGTCATGAAGATGTCATTTTCTTGTGGAAAACAAAATATTTTGTCATAGTCATATTAAATAAACGAGAATACTAAAAATAAAACTGGAAGTATCAATTAAGCATCATCAAGCTCTTATTCTTTGAAGAAAAAATTTGAAATAAATTGCCAAATTGCATTTATGGCCCTTGACTTGGACTTTGGCCAAGTTGCCAAATTGCCAAACTGCATTGATGGAAGACTCTAACATGGAACCTTTTTTTTCTTCCTCAAATGATAGATTTGTTTGATTAGAGAGCCGATGAGATTCGAACCCATGTTATGGTACAAGAGCAACACTCATCTCCACCATTGCGATAGAAGACCACTTGCTACTCTAAAATCGACTTGGATTTTGGCCAAAATGCCAAATTGCATTTTGGCCAAAATGCCAAATTGCATTTATATAAAAGACTCCATAGTCGTCCAAGTTACCAAATTGCATTTATAAAAGACTCCAAAGTCATCCAAGTTGCCAAATTGCATTTGTGGAACTCCAAGGACCATGTACAATGATTGGTTTAAAACTCAAATTTTGAGTTTCAAAATGTTAAAACTTGCTTTGGGCCAAATTCTCACCTCCCCTCCCAAAAAAAAAAATGAGCCAAGGATAGTGGTGGCCCGAGCTCCAACGCGTGAAAGCGCCTAGAAAAAGCCCAGCTGTAGCTAAGCAACGCATTAGAAGCATCTCATGCTACAAGTCATCAACTCCTGGGTCCCAACGACTACCCACTAGCATAACTACTCTTTTTGTGATCCAATGATTGGAAATGATGGGTAATTGGTTGATTCAACGGTCTATATACAAATTTTTTGAAAACAAATTTATAATTAAATTAAATCGAACGACTGAATTCTTATATTAAATTAACTGTAAAAAAAAGGTCTTATGGCCCAAAATTAAATTTAACGGCTAAAACATTTAAAAGAAATTATTTAAATCAAAATTCACCGAAAAACTCTATAAATACATGTATTTGTTCAAACATCCACCAAAAATTCACTTTCCTCAAACAATTCTTCCATTTTTTTCTACTGACTTCCAAAATTTTCAAGATGGCAAAAGATCATATTAGAAGGAGGACCCTTACAAGATGACATTCAATTTTGATGTAATGAGGGAGGACCGGCCCCAACAAATACACTTCAAATAGGAAGAAATTATTCCGCGACAAGCAATCGGAAATTATAAGAAGGAATACCGTAAGGAATATCTTTGAGGATGATGACCAATATAATGTCTATTACCCAAGTCCACCACGAAATCCACCACAAATTCAAGGACCAAGTCAACCAAATGTTGATGAATATTATTAGTATTAGTAATTGTTGTAATTTTTATGTGGTATTTTACTTATCGTTTATTAATCTTTATTTAGTGTTTTAATTATGTTTGTATTATTAATTGTTGTAAGATTGAAGCATACTATATAGAATTATTTCAAGTTTCAAAGTTTTAATCCTTATCTTTATAAAAATGAAAACTAATGAAAAGGGCTTGAAAATTTTTAGTTTTAATAAAAAACCATGTTATAAGTTTTATTTAATGATTAGTACAAGACCCATATTAAAGCAGTCCAACTAAAAATGGGCCAACTATAGTAAATTATTATTTATCGATTTTACCACTAACTTTTTAAGGTTGAGTTCCAGATTTTCATCGTTAATGGAATTCATCGTTGTTTTGCAGCCTTCTTCTTTTTCTTTGTAACAAAAATATAGATCTCATGCTATTTAATTTATATTTTGTATTATTTCGTTGAAATGTGATCGTTGTTATTATTTATAGTGTATTCGAGGTACTGTTTTTCAATTTTTCTTCGTCAGTGGAGTTCATCGTTTGTTTCTCCAGAAAATAAATTTGAGAACTGCATGCTATTCAATAATAATGACGGGTCACTGTTTCTGGACTGTAAAAATAAACTGTCTCTGGATTTTAAGTAACACTGTTTCTGGAATCTAAGTCACAGTTTTTTTAATTTAAATTACTGTTTCTGAATTTAAATAAAATATGCACATTGTTTCTTAAATGTAAGCTAGAAAAGAAATGGTGAAATTCACTGTATCTGGATTCAAATCAAAATAAGCACTCTGTTTCTTAAATATAATCAGCTGATACATGAAAGAAAAGATATAGTCAAAGCTTAAAAACATAGACTGTTTATGGCATGTAAGTCACTATTTCTGGAATGTAAGTCACTGTTTTTTGGAAAAGAAATAGTGAAATTTACTGTATCTGGATTCAAAGCAAAATAAACACTCTGTTTCTTAAATATAATTAGCTGATGCATGAAAGAAAAGAAACAATCAAATGTTAAAAACATAGACTGTTTCTGGAATGTAAGTCATTGTTTCTGTAGTGTAAGTCATTGTTTCTGGAATTTAAGTCACTGTTTCTGAATTTTGGTGTTTTTTTTTTCCAGATACAATGTTTGTTTGTGCACAAACAAAACAAACACTGTATCTGATTTTTTTTTTCAGAAACACTGTTATGTTTTGGGTTCTCCAGAAACAGTTTTATGTTTTGGTTCCTTTTTTTTTTTTTTTTCCAAACACTTTTTCGTCGGTTTCTGCCTTTAAACTTCTTTGAACTTGGTTTGGCGGCTTTGTTCCGATGAATGCTTCATTTTTCAACTTTGATTTGAACTGACACTCCTTTTAGGGGTATTTACGGGTTGAGGTTGGTGAAGAGTTGTCTTCGAGTGCCGCACGCCAACATCGAAAGAGAACAAAATCCCCACGATTCTTAAATGTCCGCCTGCGCCGAGAAAGCGGGCCAGAAGGGTGGGTTCTTCATGCAAGAGGAAACTGCAGTTCTTCGAGACCACGAACCGCGAAGAGGTTGAAGATATGTTCAACATCCAAAGACAATAAATAATAAGAATTCAAAGAATACCAATTAGCTAGCTAGTTGTGGAGGAAAGGTAATTCATATGATTGAAGTAATTCACACTCATAGATGAAGGAATACAAATATATATCCACATCCAACTGTCTGAAAAACTCATCCAAGTACTCCTCCTATATATAACCTGGAAATTCAATCTTGCCCACCAGGCTTGAATCTATCCATGAACTTGCAATACAAATTATACGGACGTGATTGCCACGTTTTTGGACCGTACATATCCCTCATATATAAAACCCAGAAACCAAAAATCGTGAAAAATAAATAAGAAAAAAGGTGTAATAATAGTAGTCCGTTGAATTGAATTGGCACCAATCCATGAAGCAGCTTTGATTTATGTACATGGGCATCTCCTTTTGGCACGAGAGTTGATCATAAAGCTCGATCTGAACATATCTTCAACCTCTTTGCGGTTCGTGGTCTCGAAGAACTGCAGTTCCTCTTGCATCAAATCATTTAGGGTATTTATGGAAGTGTAGATTTGTAGCGGGTTGAGATTATAAGTTTGGCCCGTGGACAATAGTTTTAGATGATTTTTTTATTAAACTTTGAGCCCTTTTGGTTAAATAACATTTTGGGATGATTTTTGATTAAATATTTGTTGACCCAAATCATTTTCATTAAAGCTCCCTTATAAAAATGTAATTATTGTTCCATTACTTCCATGTTTCAACCGGCAGGTTTATCGGAATTTAATTATTTTTTAGTTAAAATGTTCACAAAAATAAATCAAGATATTTGTAGACATCGAAATTTCGGTAAATAAATGTTGACCGATAAATCAAAGTGTCAACGCTCATGTATTACATAAATTTTACACGTAGCGTGTGACTCAACGAAAATTGAAATGAGTTGGAAAAGTCATCAAATAGGACACGTGTCAACACCTGGCAGAAACGACTTATTTCATCTGGGATATTGTATTCAAAATTAGGCATTGGAAATTTCTATAAATAGAAGGCTAATTCATTCATTTCAAGGAACCAATTCATATTACACCTTGAAGCTCTGAAGCTCTGAAACTCTGAAGCTCTCAAGCATCCAGGTTCCCGAAGAATCAAGAAAGCCTTCTTCGTTCTTCGTTCCTCGTTCATCGTTCTTCCAAGATCAAGCCCCAACGGCCCTTGGATCAACAATCACTAACTCAAGATCAAGCCCCGACGGCCCTTGAAGAAAGTGTTCTTCGTTTCTCATTCATCGTTCTTCCAAGATCAAGCCCCGACGGCCCTTGGATCAACAATCACCAACTCAAGATCAAGCCCCAACGGCCCTTTGGATCAACAATCATCCACCAATTCAAGATCAAGCCCCGACAGCCCTTGAAGAAAGTGCTCTTCGTTCATCGTTCTTTCAAGATCAAGCCCCGACGACCGTTGAAGAAAGTGTTCTTCGTTCTTCATTCTTTCAAGATCAAGCCCCGACGGCCCTTGAAGAAAGCATCATGGTTCATCATCCGTTCATCCTAAGATCAAGCCCCAACGGCCCTTTGGATCAACAAACGTCGACAAATCCATACAAACAACTGTTCTTCAAGATCAAGTCCAAAAGCCCTTGAAGATCCGCTCAACCGTTCTTCAAAATTGAAGATCCGTTCATCACTGTTCTTCAAGATCAATCATCCGTTCATCACTGTTCTTCAAGATCAAGCCTCAACGGCCCTTGAAGAAACACTCATCCTCAAGATCAAGCCCCAATGGCTCCTTGAAGATTCGCTCAAATCCACCTTCAAAATCAAGCCCACGGCCCTTGAAAAATGTTCATCCTTAGATCAAGCCCAACGGCCCTTTGGATCAACGAAACATCCATAAATCAACACCTTACGGAGATCGAATCAGAGGATCAAATTTGAGAGAGATTGTAACCCGAAATCATCAAATACAAATATTTGTTTGTGCACGTTGTTCTTGTCTCTTTCGTTTCAGGAATTTTCTGTGTTTACAAATTGGCACGCCCGGTGGGACAATCTCTACCTCTCATCTCTTTCTCCGTTCAAGGAATCCAAGCACACCTCAAAGTCAATGGCATCAAGCAAAGGACAAGCCGTTCTTGCAACCACTGAGGGAAGGATCCTAAGCACTTCTGCCGTAAACGGATAATCCATTGGCGCCACAACCGCTCCTCAACATGCCACTTCAAAATTGGTGCTGCTAAAAGAGCAAGGGGAGCATCCAAGGTGTGAGTCTGTCATCAACTTGACCACGCTGGGGGCACCGAAGCATGATGCTGAGGCACACAAGATGACATCCCAAAGCAGCCAACGACGTTCTTCATCAGCATCCTGGATGTCTAAAGGAAAGTCACATCTATTGGTCGCACAAGTCATGACTATCGGCGTTACCTCCATTGAAGAACAACTGGCTCAAATGAATGAAGCGATTGCAAGGCTAACACAAATTGTGGAAGAAAAAGACTTGTAAATCGCTGCACTCGTTAGCCGACTGGAGCCACAGGACGGCGAGAACCCTAACCCAGAAGATGAGCCTACGGTGGAGAGAATCGATGTGAAGCCGGAGCCAGACCAAGTAGCGGCACTCATGGGATCTCTTTCTATCCAGCAGCTGCAAGAAATGATCACCAACACCATCAAGGCACAGTACGAAGGGAGCTCAAATACCTCCGGGTTGTACTTAAAGCCGTATTCAAAGAACATCGACGCCTTAAGGATGCCGAAGGGTTATCAACCGCCAAAGTTCATGCAATTTGATGGAAAGGGAAACCCGAAACAGCACATTGCCCACTTTGTTGAAACTTGCAACAACACAGGGACCGAATGGGATTACCTCGCCAAGCAGTTTATACGCTCGCTGAAAGGAAACGCCTTTGAGTGGTACACAGACCTAGAGCCTGAGTCCATAAACAGCTGGGAGCAATTAGAGCGGGAATTCCTCAACCGCTTCTATAGTACCCGCCGCACTGTGAACATGCTAGAGCTAACGAGCACAAAGCAGTGGAAGGACGAGCCAGTCATTGACTACATCAATAGATGGCGCACTCTAAGCCTCGACTGTAAAGACAGACTCTCGGAAACCTCTTCAATTGAGATGTGCATCCAAGGCATGCAATGGGGTTTGCAATACATCCTTCAAGGCATTAAACCACGGACATTCGAGGAATTGGCCACTCGCGCCCATGACATGGAGTTGAGCATCGCCCATCATGGGAAGAAAGAACCGATCGCCGACTACAAGAACGACAAAGTTCTTGGGACAAAGGTGGAAAAGGCTGCATGGAAACCCACCAAGGAAGCGATGACGGTCAACACAGCTCCCATCAAAATCTCCACACGAGGCAAGGCGATTCAAACCGAAGCTTTTCGTGATCAAGAGATGCGTAGACGCACTTTGAAGGAGCTTGAGGAGAAGACTTATCCATTCCTCGACTCTGATGTGGTTGCCATGCTGGATGACCTGTTGGACAAGAAGGTGATCGATTTGCCTGAGTGCAGACGGCCGGAAGAGATAAATCGTACCGACAGTCCAAGATACTGTAAATTCCACCGCTTCATCAGCCATCCAACGGAAAAGTGCTTCGTACTGTAAGATCTCATCCTGAAGCTAGCACAACAAGGGAAAATCGAGCTTGACCTCAAAGACACGGTTGCGGCACACACTACTACTATTGTGTTTGGATCACTTGATCATGTGCCTCTCCGAAGCATGCATGACCATTCCCGTCAATGTTCAAGTCACAAGACACCTCCTACACAACCATCACCGGGGGCAAGCAACCAAGATGCAGCTACTGGTGATAAGAAAGGGTGGACATCGGCGACCTACAAAAAAACGAGGAAGCCAAGACCACAAGCCACAAGGCCAAAAGAGGAGCCTAAACCCACCCCTCGAACTTCAGTCTTCGAAAGGCTGAATTATTCAAAACCTAGAATTTCGGCACTTGATGGCATCAGTGGTCGAGACCAAACTTCCGTCTTCAAAAGGCTTGAGACGCCAACACCGCAAAGATCTGTCTTTGAAAGGTTATCAAAACCCAAGAAACAAAGCGAAACAGCTAGATTTCCTCCACAACGGTCGGCTTTGGACAAACTTGAAGAAACTAAGAAGCCTTCTATAAACAGGAAGACAACGCCAAAGGGAGAAAAGCTCGACAGTCTAGCAAGAAAAGACGATATTCAAAGCTTGATTCCTTCAAGAATGAAGCGCCAAGCAACTTTGGAAGTCGACACAAAAGGACCACTGAAGGTAAGGAGGCGCACCATCATCTACACTGGCCAACCTTCACGGCAACAAACCCAAGAGGACCGCACTAAAGAGGAGGCCCAAGAAGACAAAGAAGACGAAATCCTGGAAGAAGACGTCACTTCCGGCTCTGTCAACTCAAAATCTTCACCTCAATCGCTGGGGGCATGCTCAAAAAACATGCCAGTCAAGCCGAGTGAAGTTGAAGGATGGACTTATGTCACTCCGAAGAAATTGCACAAGAAGCATATGTCTTCTCCACAAGCTCACCAATGGGAAAGGGGGCAAAACAGCTCATGTTCACCTCCAGAACAATGTGAAAGTGTTGGAGATAATGAAACTTTGACACGAAGATCATCCATCCCCATCACGATGAGTGACATCTTCCCAGAAAACTTCTTCAACTACTCAGTCAAGGCTCCTTGCTATAAAGATTGCGAGGAACGACTCTCTCAGATCGCTTGACGAACCAATGCTTCTTGTTCGCACGAGCCTAAACTGCACGAACCAAAGCTCCTTGTCCGCACGAGCCTAAACTGTAGGACACGAGGCTCCTCGCCTGCACGAGCCTAAACTGCATGGCACTAAGCTCCTGGTCTGCACGAGCATAAAAGGCAACACCAACGCTCTTTGCCTGCACGAGCTGAAACTGCAACACAGCACTAAGCTCCTGGTCTGCACGAGCATAAAAGGCAACACCAAAGCTCTTGGCCCACAAGAGCATAAACTGTGTATGGTAAAATCATCATCAAAATCACCGTTAAATTCATCACTCATTTGAACTACGTTTTGACTTGATCTCTTTCTTTGGAAGGATACATAGGCAGCTTGAATATTCAATTTCAAGTTCAGTCACATCAAAATAAAAATAAATAAAAATAAAAAATAAAAAAATAAGTGTTTTTATTAAATAGAGTCAATTTTATTACAAATATATATATATACAAGTATTTTATATATGTGTGTGTGTATATGCATATACATAACTCAAAAGCCGGGCCCTCGTCAGCAACCCATCCTCATTAGTGTCTCGGCCCAGCAACAAAAGGGCTCAAGCCATAACGGGCCCAAACTCCAGCTTGTCTTCTTCCCCAAACACTCTCACTCTTATCATATTTTTTGGTTCTCTTCACCGATGGAAGGTGGAACGACGACGATGAACGCCACAGCTCCGCCTGACGTCATCCAAGTCACAGATTACCAGAACGGGAGCAATTCCGACACCAACATCGACGACGACGACGATGCACCTGCTGCCCTAACCAAACCATCTTCGTCGTGGACCCAAATTCCTACCCCAAGGCTTCCGACGTGCTTCCTCTGCCTCTTTACCTCACCAATGGCCTCTTCGTCACTCTCTTCTTCACCGTTGCCTACTTCCTCCTGAATCGGTGGCGCGAGAAGATCCGCACGTCCACGCCGCTTCACGTAGTCACGCTCTCGGAGATCGCCGCCATCTTCTCTCTCTTCGCTTCCGTTATCTACCTCATCGGCTTCTTCGGTATAGACTTCGTCCAGTCCTTCGTTGCTCCCCGTACCCCGCACGACGACTGGCACGAGCACGAGGTTCTCGAATCACCGCCGCCGCGTCCGCCTCAGCAGAAGAAAGACGAGCAGCTAATCTCTAAAGAAGACGAGGAGATCGTCGAGTCGGTGTTGTCCGGAACGACAGCGTCTTACGAGCTCGAATCGAAGCTCGAGGACTGCAAACGAGCCGCGGTGATCCGGCGCAAGGCGTTGCAGAAAACGACGGGTCGTTCGCTGGAGGGCCTGCCGCTGGAGGGCTTCGATTATCAGTCGATACTGGGACAGTGCTGTGAAAATCCGGTGGGGTATGTGCAGATCCCGGTGGGAGTCGCTGGACCGCTGTTGCTCGATGGAGAAGAGTACATGGTGCCAATGGTGACAACGGAGGGGTGCCTGGTGGCCAGCACCAATAGGGGATTCAAGGCAATCTACGCCTCAGGCGGTGCCGAGAGTGTCCTCTTCAACGACTCCATGACCAGAGCTCTAATTGTGAGGTTCCGCTCCGTCGTTAGGGCTGCTCAGCTCAAGTTCTTCGTCGAGAATCCTCTCAATTTTGATGCTCTCGCCGTCGTTTTCAACAGGTCTAGCAGATTTGCAAAGCTCGAAAAGATTCGATGCGCGATAGCAGGCAAAAATCTGTACCTAAGATTTTCATGCAGCACCGGAGATGCCATGGGAATGAACATGATCTCCAAAGGCGTTCAATATGTTATCGAATTCCTTCAAAATGAATTCCCAGACATGGAAGTTGTTGGCATCTCTGGAAACTTCTGCTCAGACAAGAAAACAGCAGCCCCAGTTGTGGTTCAAGTTTCCCTAATGTCTGAGTTTGGAGGCTTTGGGCCCCAGAGATTAAGGCAGTTGGCTCAAATAATCACGGGTTCTCCCACAAAAAAATCTTGGCCTGGATAACTCAGTGTTTGGTAAAGTTAAAAGTATCAGTTTATCTTCTTATCTGAAAGGTACACTCTCTGCAACCCCACCAACTGTTTCTCCAGCTCCAACTCTAGAGCCATCAATTTCTCCGTATCTTGCTTCTCCAGTTTACGCTCCAGCACCCTCACCTGACATTCATCATCTCTCATCAGCACAAATCCAAGGTACCTGCACATCCTCATCCCGTCTGCACCCGTTTCTGCCCTCCATCATGGGATTCTTCGATCTCCGACTACGAGTGTACAATCAAGAGGCAGTACTGCAATTGGGCAAGGAGGTTGGAGCTGGCTGACTCCCTCTCTCTAGCTGTGAAATCTGTGAGGCACTCTCGTGAGAGCTTTATCTTTCTCGGTGCTTAGCCCTCTCCGCAACGCCGTCGTCACCGACTCTCCACCATGGCACCAAGCAACTAGCAGCTTCTCCACCATGGCACCAAGCAACTAGCAGCTTCACGGATGCTCGACGCCCTCTCATTCTCCTCCTTCGTCTTCTTTCGGGCTCGGCCTGGGTTTTCACCCACAAATCCAGCCTTGCAAAGCACCGTATATATATAAAAAAAAAAGGAAAAAAAAAAGGATCATGGTGCAATATGATTATGGTGGCCATCATCTAGTTAGTGGTGGTGGGGTGAGCATCACCGAAAGCAGATAAAATAAAATAAAATAAATAATAAATAAATATAAATAAAAAAAGGAGGGGATGGTGCGGATTGCACCATCTGAAAAGAAAAGAAAAATATAATAAAAAATTATATATAAAATATATATATATATATATAATAAAATAAATAAATAATAAAAAAATAAAAAAATAAAAAATAAAAAGAGGGGGATGGTGTGGATTGCACCATCTAAAAAGAAAAAAAAATAATAATAAAGAGAAATAAAGTCCATTTCATTGATTTCTCTGGAAAATTACAAAGGGAACATTTACATACCCAAAAAAAAAAAAAAAAAGGTGCAAACAAACAAAAGCCTTCATTGATTAGGTGGCGCCTCAGTACTCGGCGAAGCCCCAGATCGGAGAGGCACCAGAGGGTGATTATTCAGAGCATCATCACTCAGCGGAACTCCAGGAAGAAGAGGAGCCGGAGGTTGATCATTTGGAGCTTCATTACGCGGTACAGCCCCAGAAGACGAAGGCAAATGCTGCTGGAACAAACCCACAAACCTCTGATGATCAAGTAAAATCTGACCATCAGATTCCTGCATCTGATCAATCTTCCTCTTCATGTTTGTCGCATAGCTATGTGCGAGCTTATGCAACTGTTTATTCTCCTGCTTGAGCCCTATAATCTCCTGTTTGAGACTCATCACTTCAGCCGCCAATGATTCAACTTGACGGGTTTGAGCAAATAGGCGTTGGGCCATATTAGACACAGAACCTGCACACTGCACACTGAGAGCCAGAGAATCCTTAACAGCCAACTCATCAGACCATTTGGAAAGTAGTCTGTTATCTCTGGGAGTGACAAGGTTTCGGGCCACCACCGCAGCGGTCATATCATTCTTCACCACTGAATCCCCAACGGTAAGATGACCAGTAGGGGATATGAAGGATGGGCGCCATATGTTGTCTAGAGAAGAAGGGACTACCTCTTCACCAAGGTTCAAGTCAAGACGACGGTCGGAGGGGCCAGACATTTTTTCAAAAATGTTGAAAGAAAGAAGAGACCGGACAAATCAAGATCTTAGAAGTGCAAGAAGGGAGTTTCTACAAGCAAAAATTCAAGTGTGCTTTGAAACGAACTGTGTGCCTCTATAAAAAAATCAGCACTCGACGGGATTTCAGAGATCGAAGAGGCGAGCTCAGAATTCGAAGAGGCCAATTCAAAAAAGCTGAAGAGGTGCTAGCTTTCTCAAAAGCTAGGCTTGCTCAGAAACCACGGGCGATTTTCCTTTCCAGACTTGTCAGCACCCATCACACGCAAACTCAGCTTTGCGAAAATCACGGGCAATTTGTCGAAGCGCCGATCCCAGATATCGAAGAAGCGCCAGTCTTTTTCAACCTCGTCAACACCTGTCATATGCACACTCAGCTTGGCGGAAATTACGGACATTTGTCGAAGATTTCTGATAAAGAAAAAAGCACGTGAAGCCATACTGATCAATCACTCAATGGTTGCCGACACGAATGAAAGAATAGTACCTCTACATGTATTAAAAAAACTTCATATAACTGTCTACCTTCACCCTCCATAGCAAGGCAAACAGACAGAACCTTTCTTCATCTCCGAGAATGCCTTCCCCACGAAGCCTCTCGAGTCACTCAGTGTTCCTTATTCCTTGGGGTACCTCTGCAAACAAATGACACCAAATCAAAAGTATCTCATATCACCAGGGTAGAAAGCAAGAGTATCTCATATCATGCGTTCTCCCTGTCCTTTCCTTTGTTCTTGTTCTTACCTGCAAAGACAAGGATAAAGAAAGCAATATGCCGGAACCTCCACTCAAACTCGGGTAAGGAACCGACTGCTTGGAACCCTTCCCTGATTGCCTACCTAGCACTGCTCTCGAGTACTCGTCTTCCACTGCTGCTGTACTTTCAAAAAAGCTGCCACATCTGCCTGGAGAACAGATAAGGCAAGTGAAAATGATACCTTGCAGCATGTGGAGACAAGGTGCAGAAGGAACAAGCAGAAAAGAATGCGGTCTGCACAGTCAACTCAGCAGAAGGAGTTCGAACTGAGGAACTCGAGAAGCTGCCACATCTGCCTGAAGAAACAAGCAGAGAAGAATGCAGCATGCACAGTCAACTCAGCAGAAAGAGTCTGAGATGAAGAACTCGAGAAGATGTCGCATCTGCCTGAGGAACAGATAAAGGAAATGAAAGTGATACCTTGAAGCATGTGGAGACAAGTGCAACAAAGCACGTGCTGAGTCATCCGCTACTTCTTCAAAATCAAAAGTATCTCATATCATCAGGGTTGTAATAACTCTGGACGGTGAACTCGTTTTGACCCTCAAATTCTTGGGTCGACTTACTAGGCGTTGTGGGCTGCACGTGCCGATTCACCACCCTTGAATCAAATACTTAACGATCAAGTCACCAACTGGAAGAATCAATCTTGAAGATCATACCGTTGACCAAACTGCTCAGGTGTGAATTAGAAAGATTGAACAAAGCAACAAGTCGTCACCTTCACCTCGTGCCCGTTTGCCATGTGTTCGAGTCAACCTTCAAGAATCAAGCCTCAACGGCCCTTGAAGAAGTTTCCAGCCAAATTCAAAATCAAGCCTCGACGGCCCTTGAGGAAATCACAAGTCCGATTCAAGATCAAGTGTCTATCACCCTTGAATCAAAACCAGTTCAAGAATAAGCTGTGGAAAGTCAACAAGTGCAACAAAATACGTGCCGATTCATCCACTACCAAAGCCAAGGATCATCTACCACATGAAGCTCCTTGTGGTCCAATTTCAACCTTCAAGATCAAGCCTCGACGGCCCTTGAAGAAATTTCAAACAAAAGTTCAAGAACAAGCCTCAACGGCCCTTGAAGAAATTTCAAACAAAAATTCAAGAACAAGCCTCAACGGCCCTTGAAGAAATCTCAAGCCCAATTTAAGATCAAGCCTCAAATGGCCCTTGAAGAAATCTCAAGCCCAATTCAAGATCAAGCCTCAACGGCCTTTGAAGAAATCTCCAGCTCAATTCAAGATCAAGCCTCGAATGGCCATTGGATCGACATCTACAATAAGGGACTTCAAAATGCATCTCCTACACGTGACAAGCACATGTATACGACGTGCCTTGAAGTGGGGGGCATTTGTAGACATCGAAATTTCGGTAAATAAATGTTGACCGATAAATCAAAGTGTCAACGCTCATGTATTACATAAATTTTACACGTAGCGTGTGACTCAACGAAAATTGAAATGAGTTGGAAAAGTCATCAAATAGGACACGTGTCAACACCTGGCAGAAACGACTTATTTCATCTGGGATATTATATTCAAAATTAGGCATTGGAAATTTCTATAAATAGAAGGCTAATTCATTCATTTCAAGGAACCAATTCATATTACACCTTGAAGCTCTGAAGCTCTGAAACTCCGAAGCTCTCAAGCATCCAGGTTCCCGAAGAATCAAGAAAGCCTTCTTCGTTCTTCGTTCCTTGTTCATCGTTCTTCCAAGATCAAGCCCCGACGGCCCTTGGATCAACAATCACTAACTCAAGATCAAGCCCCGACGGCCCTTGAAGAAAGTGTTCTTCGTTTCTCGTTCATCGTTCTTCCAAGATCAAGCCCCGACGGCCCTTGGATCAACAATCACCAACTCAAGATCAAGCCCCAACGCCCCTTTGGATCAACAATCATCCACTAATTCAAGATCAAGCCCCGACGGCCCTTGAAGAAAGTGTTCTTCGTTCTTCGTTCATCATTCTTTCAAGATCAAGCCCCGACGGCCCTTGAAGAAAGCATCATCGTTCATCATTCGTTCATCCTAAGATCAAGCCCCAACGGCCATTTGGATTAACAAACGTCGACAAATCCATACAAACAACTGTTCTTCAAGATCAAGTCCAAAAGTCCTTGAAGATCCGCTCAACCGTTCTTCAAAATTGAAGATCCGTTCATCACTGTTCTTCAAGATCAATCATCCGTTCATCACTGTTCTTCAAGATCAAGCCTCAACGGCCCTTGAAGAAACACTCATCCTCAAGATCAAGCCCCAACGGCTCCTTGAATATTCGCTCAAATCCACCTTCAAAATCAAGCCCACGGCCCTTGAAGAACGTTCATCCTTAGATCAAGCCCAACGGCCCTTTGGATCAACGAAACATCCACAAATCAACACCTTACGGAGATCGAATCAGATGATCAAATTTGAGAGAGATTGTAACTCGAAATCATCAAATACAAATATTTGTTTGTGCACGTTGTTCTTGTCTCTTTCGTTTCAGGAATTTTCTGTGTTTACAATAATTTACTTAAATTTTACTTTAAAAAAAATTAAGCTAAAATCATTATTTAATAATCTCGGCCTAAAATTTTTAGCCAAAACTATTGGAGGATAAAAGTTATTTTTGAGTTAAAACTTAAATTTTTTTTATACAACACAATCACGGAGGTAGATTTGGGGCTAGTCTGGGGTTGTTGTATTTCTTGTTTTTAAAATTGCTTCTACTGTATTGTGAGAATAAATAGCGGTGAAAAAAGCAGGTAAGTGTAATAGTAAATTATAGTGCTAAAAGTGCTTTTAGAAAGAAAAAGAAAAGAAAAAAAAAGAAGATGGGGTAGGATTGTCAATATGAAAGTTTCATTAATTGGTATTGTTCACCTGCGTCATTTGGAAAAAAAAATACTCTTTTTTGAGAAGCATGTATAGAGTTGCTTATGTTTTTAGCTGATTTAGACCTATGATTTGGAAAGAAAAAAAAAACAAAATTTTTTTTTTTATTTACCAAACACAATTAAGGACCCAACTTTTTAAAGAAAGCTGTTTTAACAAATTTAAGCAACCCCAAACTAACTATAATTAAGTTTTCAAAATTATTAATGCTCATAAAAGTTGAACACAATACCTTTTATTTATAAATAAAAAGATAAATATCACTACACATTACGTGTTACAACTGATTCTTAATAATCTTTAGATGATTGCCCCAAAGAGATAAAACACAAAGTCCACTAGCATTTCCCAAATTTTCTTTTATTTGATAAGTTTGAACTTATGACACCTAACGGAATAACTTTAATGAGAAGAAAAAAAAATAGAAATAAATGAGATGTGAACAAGGGGGCAGGGCTGAGATAATGATATTTGAGAAAAAAGATTGACAATTACACATATTATAGGAACAACCGTTAGAAAGAGAGGGGTGGGCCCCATACAATTACACGCATTTGGGACAAAGACAATCTTGTACGTACAAAACATTCAAGTCCTCTATCTTTCTTCTCTCCCACCCCCTTTTCGGTGCAGGTTGAATTGAATTAATTACAATAGCTCATGGATGCCATTATAAATAAGCCATAGGAGTAGAGTCTAATATGTACACGAAATTAAACACTAGTAGCCATGACATCTTTAGATTTTCATAAACAATGGCTTTTGGCTTATTGCCTTGTCTTATTCATACAACTTCTTTCACCGCCAAGTTGCCCTGCTTTTGCTTCTGCTACTTCTACTACTGAAGCGGAAGCACTTCTCAAATGGAAAGCCACCTTTCAAAACCATACCCGCCCGCAAAATCTCACCTCGTGGGCTTACCTACCCGCTCATACAAAAGCAGCCCCATGCTTCTGGACTGGTATTTCATGCAATGCTGTTGGAAGTGTCAGTGTGATAAACCTTACCAATTTCGGGATACAAGGTACACTACATGAGTTTTCCTTCTTGTCTTTCCCCAATCTTCAATACCTCGATCTCAGCTACAATAATCTCTTTGATGTCATTCCAGCTCAGATCAGTTCCCTCTCCAAACTCATCTATCTTGATCTTTTTAACAATTGGCTAAGTGGTTCAATCCCAACATCCCTCGGTGATCTCACAAAAATTACATTTCTCTATCTCAACCGTAATAATCTTTCTGGCACAATTCCGAAAGAGATAGGGAAATTGAAATCTCTTGTGGACCTAGAATTGTCTCATAACCAGCTCAACGGTTCAATCCCAACATCCCTAGGCCAGCTCACAAACCTTACCACTCTCTATCTCCATAGTAATAATCTTTCTGGCACTATTCCTAAAGAGATAGGGAAATTGAAATCTCTTGTGGACCTAGAATTGTCTCATAACCAGCTCAACGGTTCAATCCCAACATCCCTAGGCCAGCTCACAAACCTTACCACTCTCTATCTCCGTAGTAATAATCTTTCTGGCACTATTCCTAAAGAGATAGGGAATTTGAAAAAGTTGGCTACACTGCAATTGCCAAGTAACCAATTAATAGGTTATTTGCCCCAAAATATTTGCTGTAGTGGACAACTTCAATACTTTTCAGTGTTCAACAACCATTTGACAGGTCCAATCCCCAAAAGCTTGAAAACATGCAAGAGCTTAGTTAGAGTTCGTCTTGAAGGGAACCAATTCACAGGCAATATATCAAAAGACTTTGGTGTTTATCCAAATCTTGATTTCATTGATATGAGTCACAATAAGTTTTATGGTGAAATTTCACAAAAATGGGGACAATGCTCAAAATTAGAAACCTTACTAATTGCGGGAAACAACCTTACTGGTAACATACCTCCCGAGATTGTCAATGCTGGCAAAATTCATAAACTCGACCTCTCTTCAAATCACTTAGTTGGGGCTATTCCGAACGGGTTCGGGAGAATGACTTCTTTGCAGAGGTTGATGCTGAATGGAAATCAACTTTCAGGTTGTATACCTTCGAAATTTGGATTACTTGTTGATCTTGAATATCTCGACTTGTCATCAAACAAAATAAATGGGTCAATTCCGAGCACATTCGGCAACTTTCTCAAACTGTTCCATCTGAATTTGAGCAACAATCAATTTTCCCAAGGAATTCCATTGAAGTTGGAAAAGTTAGTTCAGTTGAACGAACTTGATTTAAGTCACAACTCACTGGAAGGTAGCATACCCGCTGAAATCAACAATATGGAGAGTCTACAGACACTCAATCTTTCTCACAACAATCTTTCTGGTTTCATACCATCAAGTTTTGAAGGCATGCATGGATTGTCGTATGTGGATGTATCTTACAATGAATTCGAAGGTCCCCTTCCCAACAACAAAGCATTTCGACAAGCTCTGCCAGAAGCTTTACAAGGGAACAAAGGACTGTGCGGCAACATTGAAGGTTTGCAATCTTGCACAATTGGCCCAAGAAAGGACCACAAATGGGTACTTGGAATCACATTCTCCCTTATAGCAGCAATTTTACTTCTTTCTGCTTTCTTTACAATTAAATTCATAGTGCAAAGAAAGAAGAAACGTCCAGAAACAGAAGAAAAAAACTTGCATGAAGAAATATCGTTTTCGGTTTAAATTTTGATGGAAAGTCAATGTATGAGGAAATCATAAGGGTGACAGAAAATTTTGATTCCACATATTGCATCGGGAGCGGAGGACAAGGAAGCGTCTACAAAGCAAATTTGTCAAGTGACAACATAGTGGCTGTGAAAAAACTACATCAATTGTGGGATGGTGAGAAGAATTTGGAGACGGCATTCTTGAATGAAATAAGGGCACTAACAGAGATAAGACACCGGAATATTGTGAAGCTTTATGGTTTCTGTTCACACCATCATCACTCGTTCTTGGTGTACGAGTTTGTTGAAAGAGGTAGCTTGGCTGCAATTTTGAGCAAAGATGAAGAAGCTAAAGAAGTAGGGTGGAGAAAAAGGGTTAATATTGTTAACGGTGTGGCTCATGCCTTGGCATATATGCACCATGATTGCTTGCCACCAATTGTGCACCGGGACATATCAACCAAGAATATTTTGTTGGATTCCAAATATGAGGCCTCTGTTTCTGACTTTGGCACTGCTAAGTTTTTGAATCCTGGATCAACAACTTGGACTGCCGTTGCAGGCACATTTGGGTATATCGCACCAGGTAATATGTTTTCTTCCTTTTAGCCTTATTAATTGAGTGTTGTTTATGATTAATTTTTTGGCGAAATTTATTTCTTTTCAACGTTAGGATGGACTAAACATACCATGTTACATGCTTTGATTTTGAAAAGAACATTCACATAAAGTATAAGCGATACTTGGGTTTATTGTATGTTCTTCCAAGTTAGCACCATTTTTCCTTAAAGCTAAAACATAAAAAAAAATCTGGGAAAAAAAAACCAATTATAAACATGCAAACTATAGTAACATCTAATTTAATAAGTAATACCAATCGAGATGTTAATGAATTACTAAAAACTAACTAATTAAAACAACATGTAACAAACATGGAAACTGCAGTAAGAATACAAATACCACGTAAGATTTACCTCTTTTGCCAAAAAGACAATCTCTAATACATAACAATGCTTGAACGGTTTAAGGCAATAAACAACTACGATATTGATCAATCGCTCTAGCACCAATACTAAATACTGATTCTGAGGTGACAATAGAAACTAGAACTGTTAATACATGACAAGACAAACGAGAAAGACAGGATAATGAAATTGTTCTATTTTCCACCGAGAAAGAATATCCAACTCTTGTTTTCTCTCAAATCTTTCTTCATCAAGATATTTACGTAATTCAAATTTTGTACTTAAAATTAAGCCCTTTTTGTAACGTTTATCGAATATCAAGAATAAACATATCGAAGAGAGCCCATGTCTTGTATTCCTCCGATCATATACCAACATACACTATAGATGCATACAAAAAGTACAAAAACACCAACAATAAACATTAATTTTACCTCAAAAGTTTAGTTTGACCCAAGGTCTGATTCATTGGATTTGAATGATGACAAGGTATCACCAACGTTCTTCAACTCCTTCACAGTATTTCTACTTCTACATGAAGTTGAAAGGCAATATGAAATTTTTATTCTGATGCATCTATGAGCAACTTTTAGCAAGCTAATAGTCCGCACTAATAAGAAATCCCTAAAACCACCAAACTAATAAGTAAAATTCTCAAATTTTGAAGAAAAATCACCACACTAATAAGAAATCCCTAAAACCCAATATTCAACTATAGTTGAAAATCGAAATTAATCCAAAACGAAACCTTCACTACCCAAATTAAGCTAATAGTCCACTAACCCAATTGTAATTTGAACTGAGCTTGTTAAGTCTTTCCCCATTAATTAAAATGTTGCGGGCAAATTGAGTCGGATTAACAGCGTCCACTTTGCCAGCTCTATTATCATCTAGTTTTTGTTAAAAGTTAGTTGTAAATTAGTTTTGTTCAATTTTTTCACTCTTTATCTTCGGTTTAGGTATTATATATACAAACTAATAGTCCAATATTGCTATGGTCTTACTCTGAGTAGAACTTGCATATACCATGGAAGTGAACGAAATATGCGATGTTTATAGCTTTGGAGTGGTTGCTATGGAAACAATCATGGGAAAGCATCCTGGTGATTTTTTCTCATCATTCTTATCAGTGCCTTCTTCGTCCACGTCGTCATCAACATCAACATTACCACCCCATCAAATGTCAGTTGTGGATGTTCTAGACCAACGCATTTTGCCTCCAACACATCAAGAAGTAGGGGAAGTACTCTCTCTTATGAAGATTGCATTTTCATGCTTGAATCCCAGTCCGCATTCTCGCCCTACAATGAGACGAGTTACTCAACTCCTCTCAACTCAGAAGTTGCATTTGTCGAAGCCAATACGTATGATAACCTGCGGTGAATTGCTTGCTCTAGATCATTTGACGGCCTGAGAAGCAGAGAGTGTGCTTATTTCCGATAAATAAATTTCGAGTCTTCCTTTTAGAAGAAAGATTCTTCGTAGATGTTTCTGTATTGTAATTTATTTTTATGCACTAGTTTGTTGGGGCTCTATTCACTTTATGCAGAATGCTTAATGTTTTTCAGTTAAAATTGTGTTTACGCTTGTGAGGAAGAAACAGAAGTTAATAAAACAAAGAATTGGTTTTCATGCATAGGGACAATGACTGGCTAAGATGAGAATGCAATGGCCACACTTATATTACTATTTCTATTTATGTATACGAACAGACGTAAAGTCATAGACAAAAGCAACCAAGAAGTAGACCAAAAGCAATCGGGTTATGGTCGAAATAGCCTGCAGTAGGTCTTCACATGAACTTCTTGTGGCAAGGCAGGCTTATCACTCTCTCTACAATAAATCCCTCGAGGAGGATGTTGGGCATCACATAACTGGGGACTGCCGCAAGGTAAAGTTGCTAGAGTATAACCTATTTTCAACATATTATATTATATAGAGTAAATTATAGAGCTCTTTAGAAAAAGACCCTTGAAACTTCTATCTTTCAATAAAAAGCCCACCTAATATTAAACATCCAAATAAAACTCAAATTTCAAATAGAGTAACATGTAGACAAATATGTAACTAATTATTATCATATATTTACAACTTATGCCACAAAACCCTAACTATGTCAATAAATATTATTACTCACCCTAATTATGATTAGCAATTAACCCCATATATCTTGTATGATAAATATTAGGAATATATATATATATATATATATATATATTAATTTAGCCATGTTCGTAAACAATTATGGGCACATTTTTCGTATGGAAATAAAAAATCCTTTGTACAATTAGTTATTTTGCAACAAATAATAATATTGTTTGATAAAAACAAAAAAGAACCAATTAATATTCTTTTATGTTGTAGGTAAATTATTTTACCTAGATTATTACATATATTAGGCATTTTTTGTTTGTTATATGTTTTTAAAAATAGTTTATGTATATTTAATATATATATATATATAATATAAGTAAATTAATTTTGAATCAAATAGCATTTATTTTGTAGGTAAATTATTATTTTATTAAAGTTAAACAGTGCCTAAATTATTTCTTAAAAATTAAAGCAAGACAAATTATCTCCATTAAAATAAAACAGTAGATATTCAACAAAAATAAATAAAAGTAAAACAATAGATACATTATTTTCTTATAAGATTAAACAATATGTAAATTTCATAAATAAAAAGTAGTAGATATATTATTTTTCAATCAAATTTTCTTTAATTGTATGTGAATTATTTTCATGCATTATTATATATAAGGCACATTTTACTACTAATATATATGTGTGCAATAATTTACCTATATTATTATATAAAATATAGATAAATTTATTTTGAATCAAATAACATTTTTTATTTTATAAGTAAATTATTTTGCATGTATCATTACATGTACATGGAAAATTTATTACTAATACACTTTACCTATATTTTTTAAATATACGTAAATTATTTTATAGTGCTCTTTCAGATTTTCATTTGGTAAGAAAATGACAAGATTAAATTATTGCTCCAATTTGATTAAAGTTGAGGGATTATTGCTACAATTTACTCTTGCTCTTATGTGTACAGCATGTGCATGGCACATGATAAATTTTTTGTTCATGTGCATGGCTTGTGATAAATTTTTAATAGAAATACAAATGGAAAGTTGGAAATCTAAAGGAATGATGGGCTAAAATAAAAGTTCAGGTGTAAATTGACAGCAAGTTACAAGTTCAGGGGAGAAATCAACAAATACCTCAATTGAGAAACAAGAAAAACTGTGTTTTGCAAGATTTTCCTACCCCCAAAGGAACTCTATTTTATACATTTATACATAGCAGGCAAGACTAGCCGACATTCACCTCTCCCAGACCCTGCGTAAAGCGGGAGCCTTGTGCACTGGGTACGACCTTTATACATAGCAGGCAAGAGATTACATTGAATTAAACTCTAATTATTATATATTTAATTGGAGATCCAGGAAGAAAGAAAATGAGTTTGTGGGACGAACACACAATTTTTTGTTTTTTTGAAACCAACATAGAGGTTGGTGTGGAGTGAAAAGTGTAGAGTGTGAGGGTAATATTGAAAAATAACTTGTGTATTTTAAGATAAATTGTAATTTAAAAAGTAGGTATGAAGTGTATTAAATAAGTATGTATATTCAACAATATGTAGGGTGTAAATAAGACAATCCTTGAGTTTGTTTGCGCTTTCCTGGCTTGGGAACCCCTCGGCCATGCACTCCTCTGTCGATGTCGTTCTACATTGCTTTGCCATTTAGCATATCTTATCGCACTTGCTTTTGTTCCCTTTTTACTACAGTTGCTCGAGAAAAACTATGGAAACAACAATAAATCTTCATGGACAAATTGTAGAGAAAGACAACATGCACACAAAAGGAACATGCAAGCATGAAATACAAATGTTAAATTGACTTCATTTCTTTTGCTCTTATTTTTTCCTCTAATAATAGTACAAGTTTAATTTCTTTTTCTTTTTAGTACAAAATGCTAATGTGGATGATAGAAGTTGATTACATGGTTAATGAGAGGATAAGTAATTGGTAACTGCTAAATCCTTGTGTTAATCTATGTGTTGTTCCTGTATTTTTTACTTGGATAAGAAGACTTAGAAGGGGCATAATATGGCCTCCTGATTAAGTGTTTTGCTAAAAAGATTTAATTAATAAGAATACACCAAACAAAGCAACTCTTCAAAATCACCAAATTTATATTGTCTTTTTCTAAAAGGTTTAATTAATAAGAATACATCAATAATTTAGTACTATGGTATAGTAGTATTCTTCTTTTATTTGTAATTAAGAAATTTTAAGTTAGAAACTAAATTTATACACCAAACAAAGTAAACCTTTCAACTTCCTCAAAAAAAAAAAAAAAACAAAACAAAAGAAAACAAAGCAAACCCTTCAAAGTCACTAAATTTGTACTACCTACCTCCAATACTACCAATTCCACACCACCTCCCTTTCTGGTGAGGTTTTTTTTTATTTTATAAAACACGTGCTTGCTTATGCATTGTTTGTTGCACACCATACATGCATCCATGTGACACCTAACACCTTCCTCTGTGTTTTTTTTTTTTTTTTTTTCTGTCAAAGGAACTCCTCCCCTGCATTAAGGATTAGAATTCTCTTTACTCCTCTTTTCATCACCTTCTATTATCTTTTCTCACATTCTCTTATTTTGTTTTTCTTTTGCTATAAAAAATTAATATAAGATATTGACGTGGCTTAACTGTGACCGTTCAAATAATAGGGAAGGAAAGGAGAGAAAAAAAAAGAAGGGAGAAAATCATGTTCCTGCATTCAAATGTTTCAATATTGAACGTTTCCAAATTTTGCCACGTGGAAAATCGACAAGGAAGGAAAGGGAGGGTGGGGTACTAATAATTGGAATGGTCTGTGATGAGAATATTCTGGCATATTACTTAAGTCTAAAGTTGGAAAAGAAATTGCACTATTCATGTTGCATATGGAATGGGCCCTTGATTTCGATCTAATTACTTTTGTACCATTGATCTTTTCGGTTTTGGGCTTTCCTTTATAAAAGATGATGAGTTTGGTCTGCTCTTTTGGGCTTGGATTGGCATGTGGGTTGGTTATCGTTGTTTAACTTTTATATCTTTCAAACATAATCTTTCATTTAATTTTCAATCCGAAGTAACATGTAGGCACAAATTTCTAGTGAGTCCCTAAGTTCTAACATATACTTCTCTTACATGTGTTGGTTTATAATTGATTATAGTTTGTTAGACGACTTTAGAGTAAACCTTGAAGCTTGTGAATGTGATCCTCGACGGCTCTAATTTAGGATAAATTATATCGCCAAGACACAAAAATTCACACCTATTTTGCGTCCTTGATTCCCAGATCCACACCTACACCACTCTCTGGTATCCTTTCTCTTTTTGGCTCTAGTTCAATTCTTTCTCTTTTTTGCTCTAGTCCAATTTCGGATAGAAGAACTTCTCCTAATTTTGGTGACTTAACTTAAAACTATTCACTTATGTTAGGCTTAGTTGGCTTTTGCAATATGCTTTTTTTTTCATCCAAATTTGAAATTTTCTCACAATAAATTATTCTAATTTAGAATATTAGAATGGCAGAAGTCAAGTTTGGTGTCTCAAGGCTTCACCAAAAATAATTAGACTAATATATATATATATATATATATGTTGGTACATATATTGGGCCTCGTTTTTTGGCCTCATCCCTAAGCCTATGATTTATGTAAGAAGGGAGGAAACCCTTATTCTATAAAAGGGGGCCTCACCTTCACTAAGAGGAGGAGATCCAGAGAGTCTCAGGGCCTCACAACAATATAGAGGGCAATATCCTCTCAGCCAAATAGAGAGCAAAATGGCAAGGGCTGCATCCACATAGAGCTCCATTGCCGATCTATTGTAATCCATACATTCATACAGTAAATGGAATCAACATCAGTGTGGACGCAGCCCAAACATTGGGGTGAACCATGATACATCTTTGTGTTCTTGTGCGTTTGTGTGATTCACGAACAGATTTACGTTGGTCCAAGATCCTCCAGATTTTGTGCATCAACATTTGGCGCTGTCTGTGGAAACAACACGAAAAGCTATGTCGGTTCTCTTTCATTTTTTCATCTCACCACTGTCCACCGTGGATCTACAAAACCAAGAGACGCCCAACTTTCTCTCTCTCTCTCTCTCTCTCCATCTGTCTCAGTAATGGAAAATATCGAGCATAAACATGTCGAAGTAAGAAAGACTCTAACCCAAGTCTCTGACGAAGAAACCAAATACTTTCTCTCTCTTTCTGGAAATCTAGAAAACAATAAGTTTTGAATACGAGTGCACCTCGGGCGAGTCAATGACCGAGTCAGGAGGATTTTGTTGAGTTAGAGATTGAGGGTAACAGTAAGAAAGAAGTGGGTGGGCAGAGAAAATATCTCTCCCCTCGAGCTGGTAACCTTGACCTCACCCAGGCCTTCTTCAAGCCCATCTCCACTACCCCGATCCTTCCCAATTCCTGCATCTAAACAGGCCTAAATGTTTCCTCTTCCCAAACTGCCCTCGTTCCCCCTGTTTCTCCAGCAAAGTCCAAGTTTTGCAGTATGTCTGTTTGCCTCCTACCAACGCAATTACAA